GCTCAGGCTGGTTTCGAACTCCTGAGCTCAAACAATCTGCCCGCCTTGGCCTCCCAGAGAGCTAGGATTACAGGCGTGAGCCACTGCCTAGCCAGACTTAGTAGCTTTTTAAAAAAGGAGAACCAACTCAATTCAGCTGCAAATCACAAGAGTTAATCTAATACTCAGCTTCGTTTTTTTTTTTTTTTTGAGACAGATTCTTGCTTTGTCGCACTGGGTAGAGTACAGTGGTGTCATCATAGCTCACTGCAACCTCAAACTGCTGGGCTCAAACCGTCCTCTTGCCTCAGCCTCCCAAGTAGCTGGGACTATAGGCGTGCACCACAAAACCCAGCTAATTTTTCTATTTTTAGTAGAGACAGAGTCTCACAGTTGCTCAGGCTGGTCTCCAACTCCTGAGCTCAATGATCCTCCCGCCTCGACCTCCCAGAGTGCTAGGATTACAGGCATGAGCCACCGTGTTTAAGTTTTCAAATTTACAGAACATTGAAAAGAATAGTACCATGAACACTCTTTATACCCTTTACTTATACTGATCAGTTGTTAACATTTTGCCACATTTACTTTTTCTTGTGCATGTAAGTTTGTGTACAGAGAGAGAGAAGAGAAAGAAGTATATAAAAACTGCTTTTTATTCTGAGCCACCTATGAATATGTTTAAGACATCATAGCTCTTCACTGCTAAATACTTGAGGGTGTATTTTCTAAGAACAAGGATATTCTCTTATTTTAACACAAGATTATTAATAAACCCAAGAAATTTAACATTGGTGTGATAATACCATCTAAAAACATTCCATGTTTAAATTTTTCCAGTTTTCCCGGTAAAGCTCTGTAGCTTTTTGTTCTGTTTTTCAATACCGAATCACATATAGTAAGTCCTCACTTAACGCTGTTGATAGGCTTCAAAACTGACTTTAAGCAAAACAACCTGTAACAAACTAACTAGTTTTTTCTCATCAATATTATAACAAAATGATGTTACTTGAGGACAGTTTCTGAGAACCTATTGGCCATGGTAAGTGATAACGTATTTCATTTGGTTGTCATGGTGTTATTTAGTCCCCTCTAACCTAGAATGCTCCCCTTCCTCCCATCGTATTTTATGTCTCATGATACATGTTTGTGTTTTTTGTTTTTTTGTTTTTTTGTTTTTTTGTTTTTGAGACAGAGTCTCACTCTCTTGCCTGGGCTGGAGTGCCATGGCGTCAGCCTAGCTCACAACAAACTCAAACTCCTGGGCTCAAGTGATCCTCCTGCCTCAGCCTCCCTAGTAGCTGGGACTACAGATGCCCGCCACCATGCCTGGCTCATTTTTTCTATTTTTAGTTGTTTGGCCAATTTCTTTCTATTTTTAGTAGAGATGGGGTCTCACTCTTGCTCAGGCTGGTCTCGAACTCCTGAGCTCAAGCAATCCTCCCACCTTGGCATCCCAGAGTGCTAGGATTACAGGAGTGAGCCACCGTGCCCGGCCATGTGATACATGTTTTTGAAGAGTCCAAGCTAGAAGAAGAAAAGTTACTCAGAACAAGAGGCTTCCAGCAGTCACCCCATAGGCCAGGTACACTTGTGTGTGTTTGGTCTTTGTCGTATTGAAGATTTTATTTTATTGCCAGTGTTCGGATAGATTTCTGGCAATACTAGGCTCACATTCCACAAGAATGTGGATGGCATGTGAGTAGCAAGCCATTCCTTTTAGTATTTGTCAGCTTGTAGAGTATTGAATACACGTGGAACTAAAGTGCTTTTGATGATATTCAGTTATCTTAGGTAACACAGTCACTCTGACATAATATTAAATCACATGGAATTGTACAGCAATAAAATTATTCCCTTGCCAAGTCTTCACTCTACATTCCTCCAAAGAGAAAGTCTGTTTCTGAGATAAAGCTGGCATCATTTATTGCCCCCCTAACAGTTACTGATCTCCCCATCTGACAGGAGGATAGTGGCCCGTGGCTGAGACCACTGTTTTGTTAGAATTTAATAGTATTGTTTTCTTACAAGTACAATTGTTAATATCTTCTGGTTATGGCAGGTAACGGTAAGTAATTGTATGTGTTATATATAAATGAAACAATATTAGCTATCTAATATTGCTTAATAGATCTAATTGAGTACCTGTTGTTTAATAAATATTTCCCTTAGATTTTTATTCTTTGGTCATAAAAATTGAGGCACTAGAAATTTTATTATACCCTTTAAAAAAAAAATTTTTTTTTTTTTTTGAGACAAGGTCTTGCTGTGTTGCCCAAGCTGGTCTAGAACTCCTGGCCTCAAGCAATCCTCCCGGGTAGCTGGCCTCAAGCAATCCTCCCGAGTAGCTGGGATTATAGGCATGTGCCATTGCATTTAGCTCTTCTTACATGTGAAGGAACAGAAGCTCAGTGAGGTTAAGTGATATGTTTGGCTAGCCGGAGGCAGTTGTGCGCCTCTATGAGAACCTCCAAGGCTATCACAGCCCTTTAGATTTGATGATCCTGTTAAGGTCAACACCTATAGGAAATAGGAAGATGGCAGCACATGACTTTGCACATGACATACTGGAGCCATCAAGGCAGGTGACAATTATGTGGGTGTGGCTGAGAGAATATGGACCATGTTTTTAAATAATGTATTTTTTTTTTTTTTTTTTTGTAAATTGCGAAAAGCTTTTTCAAGACAGTACTGCTTCAGAACACTTGGCAGTTGTGCTCTCTGGTGGGGTACACATAGGTACAAAGCTGAATGGTCCCAGGAAAACATTTGTTTCAGATAGCCTCTAACTTTCTCAACAGTCTGGTGTGGGAACAGTCTGGTGTGAGGACTTCTGTTATATAGTGACACATTAACATAAGCATAGTCATTGCCTTTTTTTAGCAAATGTAAAAGCAATCTTTTCTCCTTGTGTATACCCTGCAGGAACAGCTTTCTCAAGTCCTTGATGCCATGTTTGAAAGGATAGTCAAAGTTGATGAGCATGTCATTGACCAAGGAGATGATGGAGACAACTTTTATGTCATAGAACGGTAGGAGATGGAGCTTTGCAATTGTGTGGCTATACTTAATTGGATTCATGATTCAGGGGAGATGCTTTCCCCTGTGCTGTGTTCAGCCCAGAGAGGCCTAAACCAGGTGAACAAGCTTCCCTAAGCCTTGCGAGGGTCCACAGCCTGCCCTCTCTACCTGTTGCTTTCCTGAGTCCTCAAGACAACTCATATTTGAGGAACCGCCATCTACAGTAGAAAAAGAATACAAGACGTACTCTTTAAACATGATGTTATTTGCCAGTGTTCAAGTGAATTGATTTCCCTAAAGAATAGCCATAGTACTATATTGTTGTTTGGATCTGTGAACTTCAGCCTGATTTTACACATAAATACAGTGTCCTGACCTCCAATTCCCTAGTCCCCTCTGGCTTTGTTCCAGGTATAAGCCGTGTTGGGAAAAATGAAATATTTGGGTTTGATCTTCTCGCCCTACTGAATCCTAACCTCTTGAGCTGTTAGTATCCTCTTCAGCTTAGGATGGGTCCTTCTGATCCCCCTTCAGTCCTGACAAGAACACCTTAACCAGAGTTTAAGGTATTGCTTTACCAATTATCTTCCATTAATTTTTTTTCTTTTTTTTTTTTTGAGACAGAGTCTCACTGTGTTGCCCGGGCTAGAGTGCCGTGGCGTCATCCTAGCTCACAGCAACCTCAAACTCCTGGGCTCAAGCGATCCTTCTGCCTCAGCCTCCCGAGTAGCTGGGACTACAGGCATGCGCCACCATGCCTGGCTAATTTTTTTTTTCTATGTATTTTTAGTTGTCCGATTAATTTCTTTCTAATTTTAGTAGAGACGGGGTCTCGCTCTTGCTCAGGCTGATTTCGAACTCATGAGCTCAAACAATCCGCCCGCCTCGGCCTTCCAGAGAGCTAGGATTACTGGCGTGAGCCACCATGCCCGGCCTCTTCCATTAATTTTTTAAAATTTTTTCTTTTGAAGTAATTTCAGAGTTACAGAAAAGTTGTACAAATAGTGCAAAAACTTCTCATCATCACAGGTTCCCCAGCTTAATGTTCTCCTTTGCCTTATCAAGTTGTCTGAGAGTAAGTTGCAGATATAATGCCCTTAATCGGGCCAGGTACGGTGGCTGATGGCTGTAATCCTAGCACTCTGGGAGGCCAAGGTGGGAGGATTGCTTGAGGTCAGGAGTTTGAGACCAGCCTCAACAAGAGTGAGACCCTGTCTCTACAAAAAATAGAAACGTTAGCTGGGCATGGTGGTGCACGCCTGTTGTCCCAGCTACTTGGGAGGCTGAGGCAGGAGGATCATTTGAACCCAGGAGTTTGAGGTTTCAGTGAGCTCAAATGATGCCACTGCACTCTAGCCAGGGCGATAAAGCAAGACCCTGTCTTCAAAAAAAAAAAGAAAGCCCCTTTATCTCTGAATACCTCAGTGTGCATTGCCTGAAAGTAAGAACATACTCTTACTTATGTACAAAACAATTATAAAAATCACCAATTAATATTTATACAATGCTACATCCAATATACAGACCTTATTCAGATTTTTCCAAGTGTTCTGGGTTTTTTTGGTTTGTTTTTTTGTTTTGTTTTGTTTTTAGAGACAGAGTCTTGCTCTTGCTCTGCTGCCCAGACTGGAATGCAGTGGTACAATTACAGGTAATTGTAGCCTTGAACTCCTGGGCTCAGGTGATCCTCTTGCCTCAGCCTCCAGAATAGCCAGGACTGTAGGTGCCTCCTACCACACCCAGCTAATTTTTTTATTTTTTGTGGAGATGGGGGTCTTGCTTTGTTGTCTAGGCTGGTCTTGAACTCTTGGCCTCAAGTGATCCTCCCCCTTCAACTTCCCAAAGTGCTGGGATTAAATGTGTGCCACCACACCTGGCCATGTTCCCCAGATTTTTGAGGTTCTTTTAATCTCCATCAAGTAGCTGTAGTAGATTCAGTTGGTCCCCTTTCTTGTTGAGCCTTTGCTCATTTAGGTTGTTGAATAGAAAACTCTCTAACTCCCTGGGTACCCTTTGGGCCTTTGATACCTGTGACAAATTATTACAATTAAAGGTAATGTTTTATTTAAAGAGTAAAGATGATATAAATATCTTCTCAAAGAAAAGACTTTCATCTTTATCTTTTATGCTAATACTTCCTACCTAGAAATTCTGTAAGTAATGACAGAATAATTTTTTAAGTTACACCACTGTCTCTAGTAGCCAACTTTCCCCTTTGTCCTGCCATGCACTCCCCCACCAAAACAGAGGTCCCAAAGAGGAATTATGGTCTTGGAAATTAGCATCCACCTTCATGTGTTCACAACTTAAAGATCGAAATGCCTATCTATAGAGGGAATGATTTGTTACATGTGTAAATGAAAGGGCTTATTTTTTTATACAGTGAAAGTCACGACTTTCCTAACAAATAGGAAAGACTGTCATATCAAGTAAAAAGGAATAGTTCCGGACCTCAAAAAGCTCATTGTCTAACTGGGGAGACAGGTGCTTAAATAGATAATTATTACATAATATGGTGGTAACAACAATGATTTTTTTAAAAATTCTCCCACTATTTAGAGGAGGACCTAATGGGACAAGGTCAAAAGAGGTTGTCTACAGTGCTGCTGCCTGAAATGGTTTGTATCACTCCCAAAATTAAGTAGCTAGTGTCACCTGGAAGAGAGACTAAAAACACTTCAACGTATTTACTCTGAATTCCGTGTTTCCCATTCATGGCTTTATTACTTCTCCCTTGTCTACCAGACATAGTACAGGTCAGCCTCCCTATTGAGTGGTGAGCTCCTCTGAAAACAGGATTGATGCACATAACTGATACTTGAATGATTGGTTTTATTCTCTGCTTTTCTTTTAATATATGATACTTAGTGGTTTTATCAGACAAGTGGAGGATCTTTATATGAAATTTAGAATATAAAAAAATGAAAAACAGGATAGAAAGAATTTAGCCATAATCTCATTTCTATAGTGTATCCTTCTGTTGTTTTTTTTCCATGCTTTACTGTTGAGGTCAGACTCCTCTCCCAAAATTTGGTTCAGATGTCAAGACTGATGATACTACATATACACTAAAAGGGTATGAAATGGTTTATTACTCACATAATGAAGCTTTTAGGGAGAGCAGGGAAGTCTCCCAAGCAGGTCCAAAAATGACTTGAGACAGTGGGGAGAGGTGACTGGCTTGTCATTTTAGGGTGGTTAGAAGGTGGGGCTGAATCAGGGTACTGTTACACATGGGCTGGCATTTGTGTTGTTTGAATTCCCCATTAGCATCTAAGGAGGAAGCACCCAGGCTTTCTTATCAGCTTGCCCAGATGTGGGGCAGAAGAGGAAGGGTGAGTGGAGTGATAGGGTTTGATGTTTGATTATTGGTAGCTTTCAATCCATCAATAATCAAACATCAAAAATGGAGTTGAGACCAGGCAATGTGGCTCATACCTGTAATCCCAACACTTTGGGAGGCTGAGGCAGGAGGGTCACTTGAGACCAGGAGTTTGAGAACAGCCTGGGCAACATAGTGAGACTCCATCTCTACAAAAAATTAAAAAAATAGCAGAGCTATTCAGGAGGCTAAGGCAAGAGGATTGCTTGATGCCAGGAGTCCTAGGCTGCAGTGAACTATGTTCACATCACTGCACTCTAGTCTGGATGACAGAGTGAGACCCTGTCTCTTAAAAGGTAAAAATTTTTTTTAAATAAAATATGGTTGCTGCAACTTCCAGAAGGAGCTTGTACACCTGGTGCGGGAGCTGTGGGGCCCAGATACTATGCTTGAAGTAGTGGGTGCACCAATGTGTCCCATGGTTCCAGCGCCAGTTTTGACCACCACATTACCATTTTTTTGCCTGAGGATTGGCTCTACCAAGTCGAATCAGCTTTTAAAGCTATTAACCAGGATGGCCTTACATCAGTAGCTATCAGAGGGAAAGACTGCAGTAATGGTCACACAGAAGAAAATACCTGATAAGTTATTGGATTCTAGCACAGTGACTCACTTATTCAAGATAACAAAAAACATTGACTGTATGATGACAGGAATGACAGTTGACAGCAGATCCCAGGTACAGAGGGCACACCATGAGGCAGCTAATTAGAAATACAAATATGGCTATGAGATTCCTGTGGACATGCTGTGTAAAAGAATTGCCACCATTTCTCAGGTCTACACACAGAATGCTGAAATGAGGCCTCTTGGTTGTTGTATGATTTTAATTGGTACAGATGAAGAACAAGGCCCTCAGGTGTACAAGTGTGATCCTGTAGGTTACTACTGTGGGTTTAAAGCTACTGCAACAGGAGTGAAACAAATTGAGTCAACCAGCTTCCTTGAAAAAAAAGTGAAGAAATTTGATTGGACATTTGAACAGACAGTGGAAACTGTGATTACATGCCTGTCTACTGTTTAATTGATTGATTTCAAACTTTCAGAAGTAGAAGTTGGAGTAGTTACAGTTGAAAATCCTATATTCAGGATTCTTACAGAAGTAGAGATTGATGCTCACCTTGTTGCTCTAACAGAGAGAGATTAAATGTTGTTGTTAGTTTACCAAATCCGTGATGCCAATTTCCTGCATGTTTGGCAGCAGCAAACCAACATATGGAGGCCCCTGGATTGTGAAAGGAACCTCTCCCACTCCTCCTACTGCTGTGAAGTGGTTAGGACTCTGTGTAAATAAAAACAATCCTTTTGCAAATAAAATACTCCTGTTAACCATCCCTGCAGTTAAATCTTTTGCAGTATCTTTGATTATGTTATCTCTTTAGGAATGACTAGAAATGGAATTGCTGTGTCAAAGGGTCTTTTTAAGGCATGTGCTATATGTTTTTAATGATCTTGTGGAAACTTTGAAAAGTTTGTTTATCTCATGATATGTTGAGTGTCTGTTTCCCCAAATGCTTGTCATTTCTGAATATTTTTTCTTAGCAGTAATTACCAATAAATAGGTAGAAAAGTATATTATATGCTTTATTTTAATTATTTATACCCTAATTTTTAAGAGAATGTGAAAGAAAACCCATAGAGTAATTTCAATACCTACAGGAAAGCATTTGACAAAATTCAACACCTTTTTGCAATAAAAATGCTTAGCACACTAGCAAGAAAAGGGACTTCCCCCATCTTGGCTAAAGACATTTATAAAAAACCTACAGGCTGGGTATGACAGTTCACACCTGTAATCCCAGCACATTGTGGGACTGAAGCGGGAGGATTACTTGAGATCAGGAGTTCAAGACTAGCCTGGGCAACATCAGAGTGAGACCCCATCTCTACCAAAAAAATTTAAAAAATTAGCTGCATATGGTGGCACACGCCTGTAGTCCTAGCTACTCAAGAGGCTGAGGCAGGAGGATCACTTGAGCCCAGGAATTCGAGGTTACAGTGAGCTGTGATCATACCACTGCATTCTAGCCTGAGTGACAGAGTGAGACCTTGTCTCAAAAAAACAAAATCCACAGCTGATATTGTACTCAATGGTGAAAGACTGAATGTTTTCCCCTTAAGAACAATAATAAGACAAGGATGTCTGCACTCACTACTTCTACTCAATATTGTACTGGAGGTTCTATTTAAGGCAGTAAGGCAAAGAAATGGAAGGGAGGGAGGAAAGAAGGGAAAGATGAGAAAAAGTGAGGGAGTCAGGGAAAGAAGGAAGGAAGGAAAGGCAAGGTCATAGCATAGAAAGTCAATGTACAAAAATCTGTTGCTTGGTTTTTTGTTGTTGTTGTTTTTTTTTTTAACACAGGGTCTCCCTCCATTACCCGGGCCAGAGTGCAGTGGCGTAATCATGGCTCACTGCAGCCTTGAGCTCCTGGGCTCAAGCGATCCTCCCACCTCAGCATCTCAAGTAGCTGGAACTACAGCTGCACACCACCATGCCTGGCTAAAAAAATTTTTTTAAGAGACGGGGTCTCACTCTGTTGCTCCGCTCTCGAACTCCTGAGCTCAAGTGATCCTTCCACCTTCGCCTCCCAAATTGAGGGCATTTTTATATACTAGCAAAATTCTGTTGGAAATCTCTTATGACAACGTTTTATATGTACCTGTCAGTTCTTATATTAATTATCAGATGTAATTAATGAAATTGTTTCTTGTCATTCTTCCAGGGGAACCTATGACATTTTAGTAACAAAAGATAATCAAACTCGCTGTGTTGGTCAGTATGACAACCGTGGCAGTTTTGGAGAACTCGCTCTGATGTACAACACCCCAAGAGCTGCTACCATTGTTGCCACCTCAGAAGGTTCTCTTTGGGGACTGGTGAGTGAACGAAACAGTTCCCCTTGTGTGGCATAGTTTTAATTCCCTTTATTTCTGGGTCTCTGTCTTTGGGCTGTTGGTTCACAATATATTTTATAGCCAGTTGTCTGAAAGACATTGTAGAAGATCTTGTGCAAATGTATTTTTCCATTTCCCTAAAATTTGTCAGCGAACCATTTACTCCAAGTTACAGGGAGAAGGCTGAGTCTTCTGCCCTTATTGTAGTATACAGCTCTTACTGCATTTTCTGTTTTTGTCAGACAAGTGAAGAGAGAGGTGATAAAAAGAAGCAGCCCAGAGAAATAAGTGTCACTGAAAGCTCTGCCAACAGTGTTTTCCATGTCTAGATATCCCAGGACCAACTTTTCTCTGTGTTCAGCTATTCACTTGTTGATTGATCTATGCCAATTTCTATGAAAGGGCCCTTTACTGTGACATATTGATGACATACTTAATTTAAATTACGAGTGTTCCTAAAAGATGAGGCATGCAGTGGCTTAAGAATATGGCCAGGCACGGTGGCTCACACCTGTAATCCTAGCACTCTGGGAGGCCGAGGTGGGAAGATAACTTGACGCCAGGAGTTTGAGACCATCCTTAGCAAGAGCAAGACCCTGTCTCTACCAAAAATAGAAAAATTAGTCAGGCATAGGATACGTGCCTGTAGTCCCAGCTACTCAGGAGGCCAAGACAGGAGAATTGCTTGAGCCTAGGAGTTTGAGGTTGCAGTGAGCTGTAATGACACCACTGCACTCTGGCCCAGGTGACCAAGCAAGACTCTGTATCAAAAAAAACCAAAACAACAACAACAAAAAAAACACATTGGTGCCAATTACTGGTTCAGACAAGATGGAATATTCCCATTTCTCACTAGTCTTCTCTCTTAAAACTAAAAAATAACTATGGATGTTGTACAGCAAACAAACAGGAAGACCCTGAAAGGTAGAAAAGAGAAGGCAGACTGTCTAGAGATATTGGGAGTTGAGGAAGGACATGACAGTGAGTTCCCTGGGTTTCCTTACTGCTTTCCATATATCCCAGATGGGGTGCTGGAAAAGCCTGCAACCAAGATCTGCCAATAGGTACATATAAAAACAGCCCCAAGAAAAGCCTGCTCCCTCTAGCCAAAGAACTAGGAAAATAGCAGCCTAGCAGAACCAAAAACCTTTTTGATAATATCAGTTCTACTTTAACCAAATACCAAAGAAGAAACTGCTTCTATTTCCCCATAGTATCATTGGGCTAAGAAGGAAGCTGGACTTCCAACCCTACCTGGCAGCAAAGAGGCAAAATGAGGTATGCATGGTATTACTAGTTAGCACCCTGCTTTCCCTGCCAGGATAGCATCAGTGGGGCCCAGAAGGGAGCTGAACATGCACCCTGTAAATATTCACTATACTTAATAGGGTGAGTGCCTACAAAAATCATTTTTCAACATATCCAAAATGTCTAAGGTACAATCAAAAATCATTTATCATACCATGAACAAGGAAATTCTCAATTTGAATAAGAAAAGACAATCAACAGATACCAATACCAAGATGACACAGATACTGAAATTAGCTGACAAAGATTTTAAGGCAACCATCATAAAGACGCTTCAACAAGCAATTGTGAATAAACTTGAAACATAAAAAAAAAGGTCTCATCGGAGAAATAGAAGATAGAAAGCATAGCCAAACGGAAACTTTAGAACTGGAAAATATGATGACCAAAATAAAAACTCATTGAAGCTGGGCACAGTGGCTCATGCCTGTAATCTTAGCACTTTGGGAGGCTGAAGTGAGAGGATCACTTGAAGCCAGAAGTTCAAGACCAGCCTGGCAACATAGCAAGACCCTGTCTTTACAAAGAAAAGAAAAAACAAAAAACAAAACAAAAAAATCCCAGCCATGTGTGGTAGCGTGTACCTGTAGTCCTAGGTAGTTTGGGAGGCTCAGGCAAGAGAGCCCCTTGAGCCCAGGAGTTTGAGGTTAAAGGGAGCTATGATCACACCACTGCATTTCAGTGTGGGTGACAGCAAAATCCTGTCTCTTAGCGGGGGGATAAAAAAACTACCTCATCAAATGGGCTCAGTAACAGAATGAATATGACAGAGAAAAGAATCAGTGAACTTAAAGATAGACCAATAAAATTACTCAATCTGAACAACAGAGAGACTATAAACGGAAATGAAATGAATGGAGCCTGTGGGACAATAACAAAAGATCTCGCATTTATATCATCAGAGGTGTAGGACAGGAGAAAGAATGTGGAGCTAAAAAATTATTTGAAGAAATAATGACTCAAAATTCCCAAATTTGGTGAAAGATATAAACCTACAGATTCAAAAAGCTAATTGAACTCCAAGCAGGATAAACCCAAAGAAATCTGTTCCCAGATACATCATAATCAAACTTCAGAAAACTAAAGACAGAAAAAATCTTGAAAGGAGCAAGAGAGAAACAATGCATTATCTATAAGGGAACAACAATTTGAATGACAAGGAATTGCCTGTCTGTAGATGCTAAAAGTGGCACAGCATTCTTTAGGTGCTAAAAGAAAAGAACTGTCAACAATAATTCTATACCTCATGGAATGAAGACATTCTCAAATGAAAGAAAACTAAGAGACTTTGTCACCAGCAGGCTTACTCCAAAAGAATGGCTAACAGAATTTCTTCAAACAGAAAAACTATAAAAGAAGGAAATCTGGAACATCAAGAATGAAGAAAACAACAAAGAGTTAATATGGGTAAATATCAAAGACTATCCCTCCCTTGAATTTTCTAAATTATTTTAGATTGTTGAAGCAAGAATTATGGAATTATGACATCTCTGATTTGGTTCTGAATATATGTAGAAGAATTTTTTTTTTTTTGGAGGCAGAGTCTCACTCTGTTGCCCGGGCCAGAGTGCCGTGGTGTCAGCCTAGTTGACAGCAACCTCAAACTCCTGGGCTCAAGCAATCCTCCTGCCTCAGCCTCCTGTGTAGCTGGGACTAGAGGCGTTTGCCACCACTCCTAGTTATCTAGCTAATTTCTTTCTATTTTTAGTAGAGACGGGGTCTCTCTCTTGCTCAGGCTGATCTTGAACTCCTGACCTCAAGCAATCCTCCAGCCTTGGCCTCCTAGAGTACTAGGATTACAGGTGTGAGCCACCACACCTGGCCAAAGAAGAATTATTTAAGATAATTATACTATAAAGGGGAGAGGGTCAAGGGACCTAAATGGAAGTAAAGGTGCTATACTTTACTCAAAGTAGTAAGGTGTTGACACCAATAGACTGTGATTAAGTTACATGTGTATAATATAATGCCTAGAGAAACCACTAAAAAAATCTGTACAAAGATGTATTCAAAAGCTCTCTAAATTTGGCCAGGCACGGTGGCTCACACCTGTAATCCTAGCACTTTGGGAAGCCAAGGCGGGAGTATTGCTTTGGGCCAGGAGTTCAAGATCAAAAACTCTCTAAATCAAACAGAATTCTAAAAAGGGTTCAAGTAACCCACAGGGAGGCAGGAAAAGTGAACAGAGTATCAAAAAACAAAGGAAACAACAGAAAACATACAATAAAATGATAGACTTAAGCCCTAATAGATGAATAGTTAGTATAAATATATTAATAGATGGTCTAAATATACCAATTAAAAGATAGACTGGTAGAATGGATTTTTTAAGATGACCCAACCGTATGCTATCTATATACTGAAATATAATGATGTTGAAAGTATAGGGTAGAGATACTAATAGATACACTTTGCAAACATCAATCAAAAGAAAGCAGGACTGTCCCGACTGGGGCAAGGATTTAAAAAGAAAAGAAAGCAGTGGTGATTATGTTAGTATCAGATAGATTAGATTTCAGAGCAAAGAAATTACAAGGACAAAGAGGAACATTACATAATAATGAGTCAATCTACCAAGAAGATATAGCAACCCTGCATATGTATACACCAAACAACAGAGTTTGAAGATATGTAAAGCAAAAACCGATGAAACTGAAAGGAATAGACAAATTCATGATTACAGATGATGCAGACTTTAACATCCATCTCTCAACAAATTGATAGAACTGCTAGACAGAAAAGCAGCAAGGATAGAGAAGAACTTAACGCCAATAATCAACAGAAGCTAACTGAAGTAGAACACTGTACACAACAGCAGAATACACATTCTTTCAAGCTCGCAGAACATTCACCAAAATAGACCATATGCTGGGATATAAAATAAAACTTAAATTTAAAAGAATTGAAATCAGACCAAGTGTGTTCTCTAACCACAATGGAAAGAAACTAGAAATCAATAACAGAGATGTCCAAACACTTGGATGTTAAAAACACATTCTTAAATAACTCAATGGAAATTGAAAAAAATATGTTGAACTGTAAAACTACCTGCCTTGTTGCTGGGATATGAGGATTAAGTAGGTGGGCATAGGCCGGGCGCGGTGGCTCACGCCTGTAATCCTAGCACTCTGGGAGGCCGAGGCGGGAGGATTGTTTGAGCTCAGGAGTTCGAGACCAGCCTGAGCAAGAATGAGACCCCGTCTCTACTAAAAATAGAAAGAAATTAGCCAAACAACTAAAAATATATATAGAAAAGATTAGCCAGGCATGGTGGCAGATGCCCGTAGTCCCACCTACTTGGGAGGCTGAGTCAGGAGGATCGCTTGAGCCCAGGAGTTTGAGGTTGCTGTGAGCTAGGATGACGCCACGGCACTCTAGCCCGGGCAACACAGTGAGACTCTGTCTCAAAAAAAAAAAAAAAGAAAGGGTTGGAACCCAAATAAATAAGTTACTTTAAGAGATACCTGTTGTTTTCTCTTCAACTAGAAATATTGCTTGCTATTGTAATTGTAATAATCTTTGTAACACTATAGGTGGATTTATAAAATACTGGTTTTTTGACACTACCTACTCAAACACGGGAAGAAAACTTTATAATTCCCATTTTCTCAGTCTTAATTGTCCTGTTTTCACAACACTCTTGGCTTAGATTGGCCCTGAAAACAGATAGAAACTCAATTATAAAGATAATGGCATAATATTTCAAAGTATGAAAATAACATTTAAAATGATACATGCTTAACCTTGGACTTCAAAAAGCAGTGGCAGATAATGCAGCCCATTAGAACAATCAGAGATTGAATGGCTCTTTTCAAGCAAACAGAGAGAAGAAAATGGGGGAGAAACTGGCTAAGTGCCAGAGAGGAGACATTATTTGTATAGCAGTTCAGGGAAGGAGAGTAGGAGTCTACCATCACTCACATTAGAAGTGTGAGTGACTTTTCTTGTTAAGCAGATGAACATGGCACAGGGTAGGGCCTCAGAATTCTGCAGCTAATGGAATATGAGCATGTGAAACCCATTTAGACACCTCAACTCAGTTGTCTTTGTGACTTCTCCATCCTGCTCCGGCCCCATCGTCAAGAATGTTAAAATACCTAACCTACAGCTGAACATACCCTTATCCCCTTGTTGCTGTTTTTGATTCTGCCAACCTTTAAGATATCATTAGTATACTTTCAAAAAAAGAAATCTCCATTCCTGACAGCCTGAGGTAGAAGAAAAGTACAGTTAACTTAGGTACAAATGAATGCTTACCCATTCAGAAGCCTAAGACTAAGCAATTAACATTCTCCTGGTCGCATGTCCCTCCCCACACATGTGTACACATATCTGAGAGGTGCCTGGCCATAGCTTTGGTTTTCTGTCTTCTCATCAGAATCCATGACTTGCTGAGGTCAAAGTATCTTTTATATTCCTGCCTTCTATCTTGAGTAACCTCCCATATCTCTTCATTAATTTAAATCCTACCCATTCTTCAGGTCCCAGACAAATTTATATTTTTACTACAAAATTGTCTTTGATCATTCCTGCCTATTGTGATCTCCCTCTCCCACCTCAAAATTCCTTTAAACTTGTCTTTTTCAGTTTTACCTAGCACATTTCATATGCTGTCTTGAATTGTAGGCTTTTTATTCCTATGTGTTGTCCTATATATTGTCTGCTGTCTCTCTCTTTTTTTTTTTTTTTTTTGAGACTGAGTCTTGTTCTGTTGCCCAGGCTAGAGTGCCATGGTGTCAGCCTAGTTCACGGCAACCTCAAATTCCTGGGCTCAAGCAATCCTCCTGCCTCAGCTCCCCAAGTAGCTGGAACTATAGGCATTCACCACCACGCCCAGCTAGTTTTTTCTAGGTTTTTTTTTTTTTTTTTTTTTTTTTTTTTTTTTAGTAGAGACAGGATCTCGCTCTTGCTCAGGCTGATCTCAAACTCCTGAGCTCAAGCAATATTCCCACCTTGGCCTCCCAGAGTGCTAGGATTATAGGCTTGAGCCACCATACCCAGCCTCTGTTATCTCCTCGAGGGCAGGAATCATCTGGTTGTTTTATTTTCTCCTTTTTTTTGGTAAGGTGTCTTTTCTTTTGACATTGAACAGTGACAATAAATGCACTAATGTTTGATTGGGAGTTTTGTATTTTATGTTCTATTTATGACACATAGGTGGTACCCATTGAGCACTAGACAACAAGCAATAGCATGTGGGTCATGTGTCTGGCTCAGTCTATAAGAGTGGCTAGCACTCTTTTTCTTTCTTTTTTTTTTTTTTTTTTTGAGACGGAGTCTCACTGTGTTGCCCGGGCTAGAGTGCCGTGGCGTCATCCTAGCTCACAGCAACCTCAAACTCCTGGGCTCAAGCGATCCTCCTGCCTCAGCCTCCCGAGTAGCTGTGACTACAGACATGTGCCACCATGCCCGGCTAATTTTTTCTATATATTTTTAGTTGGCCATTTAATTTTCTTTCTATTTTTAGTAGAGACGGGGTCTCACTCTTGCTCAGGCTGGTTTCGAACTCCTGAGCTCAAACAATCCGCCCGCCTCGGCCTCCCAGAGAGCTAGGATTACAGGCGTGAGCCACCGCGCCCGGCCTCTTTTTCTTTCTTGAACTTCAGAGCTGTTTGGTTACCTTTGAGCGCTTGCTGCCTATGGGAGTTTCCTCTTTATTGCTCCATTGGAAGCTGTCCAATCTTTTTCTTCCATTGATAACTCTGAGATTGAAGTATCATTAAATATTCAGTTGACACAGTAACTCACATGGTCCTCTACTATTTGCTGTGGCCAGTTAATTAAACCATAGAAGTTCTTTTACACAGGCATTTACTAGAATTTTCATATTATTTCTTGTAGGACCGGGTGACTTTTAGAAGAATCATAGTGAAAAACAATGCAAAAAAGAGGAAGATGTTTGAATCATTTATTGAATCTGTGCCCCTCCTTAAGTCACTAGAGGTAAAAAGTCTGTTTGAATAAGAGTGTTTATGGGGATTGGGAAAAGCTATTAAAACTATTTTATTATTAGGTTTTCAAATCATACCATTCTAACCCAGTTTTGTGTTGCATAGATATTGTGACTTTCAGTTAAGGTCTTTTCCTTATAATTTGTCAGTATGTCCATTGTTTTAGGTATCAGAACGAATGAAGATTGTGGATGTAATAGGAGAGAAGATTTATAAGGATGGAGAGCGCATAATCACTCAGGTGAGCATGGGTCTTACACAGCTTCTTTCCTGAAAGTCACCACCTGAAGGACTAGCATCACTTGTCTCATAAAACTTCTGTGTCCTTCCACTGTTGAGAGCTTATGTTGAGGGGTAATAGGTCATACTTCCTGCAGAGTCCTCTGAAGCCTGTTGATGCCCATGTCACTGGCATATGTAGATCTCTTGCTTTCATTCACTTTTCCTTGGCTTTTAGTGTTTGTTCTTTTAAATGTCATTTTCTTTTGACCATAAGTAAGCTTCATCCATTGCTGTTAAAACCTGAAGAAGGTTGGATGGTTGTACCCTCTACTTTCTCTGTATTTGACACAAAGTCATCGTTTTGGCTAATCCAACACAAATTGAAATACTCAGTCTTCAGTGATTAACCAGATTTGTAAGATGTCTAGTATTTCCTTGGTGCCTTTTTCTCGTGTAATTTTTGGATAATGTAAGGTCTAGTCATTGTAACAAGTGCTGTGTAATAATTTTCTTTGTCCACTGTGTTTGCATTTTTAATTATATGTAAATAGTATTAGGGGCTTTTCCTGGCATAAGCTTCTTTGCCTATGGTTCTGTTAAGAACACTGGAAAGATAACTGGTTGGTCTAGGTTGGATGATATGTCTATCCTTGAACCCACTGCTGGGACTATCAGATTGGACAGGCCTGGGTCCTCTGGATGGAGTTGGACCCACCAGAACCACAAGGATTAATCAGACTTTCCATTAAAGGGAAGAGGGATGCTCCCACTGGAGGAGATAAAGGACTAACAAAAATATGATGTCTACCCTAAGTGACATTGCTAAATGTCTTTGTTTTCTAGGAGCCCTTACTGGCAATAATTCTTTTTTTTTTT